AATTGATTATGTAATTGTTATTTCAGGTTTCAATTAGTTCAATTCGAAGAATATTGACTTAAAATTTTATCGTTATGTATATTCGAGTTTTATGCAAGAATAAATAATACATTTATTTTTAATCTTTGTTTGACATAATTGAAATTTTTTGAAAATTGCTTAGCTAACTCACAAATATCTATACAAAGCATAATTTAATCGTATTATCTTTTCTTGACTAACTTGTTCTAACGAGTTTATAGTGTGAGAAAAGTTACTACTACTAATGGTTGTATCAATTTTTATAAATTATGATAATCTCAGATTTGGTACAAGACAACTTTCCTCTACTTGAATCTATTAACGTTAATACTGTAAATCTACTAATACTCATTAGATAAATTTTTATCTTTATCATCGATCAGATTTATGTTCAGCGGTTTATCTTACATGACCGTAATACTGTATAATTAATTGTGGCGATTACTCATTAGTATATTTGTCGGTCAAATATATCCCAAATCCAAAATCTCAAAATCGTCCAATCTAAAAATTCACCAATAAGCATACTCACTTGTCTTTCCTGCCAATGTTTGTGAACTTTTTATGATCGGCCATCAGTATTTGATTCTATATCATTTATATAGAATCATTAATCTCTTGACATTTTTTTTGTTAAAAAAGTTTGATTTTAATAAATCTATATATTGTCGTTTTATAATTAGATTAAATAGAGGTGTAGTAACATAATCGTACGCATTTTCAGCACATCCATCCTTTTGACAGTGTTGTGGCATTTGTTAGTCCCATTCACCCTAATTAAATCACAAGTTGTCAAAGAACTTTACGTAGGTATTGGATAATTGAATTTTTAGTTATTTACTTATTGAAATTCATTTTTGGCTTCAAAACACTATTAAAATAAATTAGTGTTGAAGCCAAAATATTTTACTTTGGCGAAGTATTTCGGATTTTGAAAAGTAATTTCACCGGCAACAATTCTGAAAAAATTAGCAAGAGTTAACCCATTTTTTTTTAATTATCTTCCTATAATCTACACGTGCGCAAGTCTAATATATAATTTGGAGCAATAATATAAAAATAACTTTAACTAATAGGTAACACGTCGACTATTTAGAATACCATCGTAGCAATCAAATCGCATATGTCGAAACGTGATATATTCATCATCTTGTGAGATAATGTAAACTTGACCATATGATTAGGATAATTAGAGTCTAATCTAATATAAGCTTTATATTAACGGTTGGAGATGATACAGTAACATGAATTTTAATGAGTATCTTTGTGCTTGGTAACAGAACGGTATAAAGGATAGTATTTTAAAATTTGATGTTATTAAAAACTTACCTAAATAACGGCGCAAAAATTTCTGAGAATACTTCGCTGTTCATAACAATCATTTTAAATAAACTAGACACTAATTATGGCTTCAATTATAGTAGGCCTATACGCTAGAGCTTGGATTCGGATAAAATTCATTTATTTCCCTATTTGATTAATTGTAGACTACAAGGCTTTCACTTTTATTTTTGACGATAATTTAATTTAAACTCAGTAGAGAAATAGCTTCCGGCCGACAATTAGTGAAACAGGAGAATAAACCCTTCATTCCCCGCTTCGTGGGGAATGAAGAGTGCTTATATCGAATTTATAAATTTTTTTTTTGTATCCGATAATTCATTATTCTTACCCAAACTCAAGTTTAATAGCATACATATATCATTTCATACCTTTTTTTTTTTCTTGCTTTAACAATTTGTATTTTGTCTTTATCCATCTTAAAAAAATAATAATAATAATAAAAATAAAAAAATAAAAAAATAAAAAAAATAAAAATAATAAATGAATTCTTTATTTATTCTTTTTTTGACGTTTTTCATAGATCTTTGCGGTAAAAGGTCTAAAAAATCAATAGAGTTTAAAATAATAATAATAATTATAAACAAAAGTGGAATAAAAGTTGAATGTTAGAAACCTACCCTTCGTATCGAAGTGCTATTAAGTAAACTGTAAATGCCCATATAGTTAAAAGGATTCCGGCAGGACACGCATACCTATTTGTAACTAAAAGCTCAGGAAATTTTATCATAAATTTATAACCAATTTTATTAAGACATACCATAAAGCAGTGGCTAAAAACACCATAGATGATCCATAATACATTGGATTTTCAAGTATGTTAAACGGAAAAGAAGTGACTCGACTATTCATCAGAATACCAAAGTAATCACCTATGAATCATAAGAAAAATAAATAAATACTTTTGAAATGTAGATTTTTTTCTAGAATTTTTAACAAGTTCCTACCAAGGAATGTTCCAGTTATACCAAGTGTATACATTGACGAAAGTACAAAAGTATTGCCCGTAAAGAATAAAAGCGCTGCTAAAATCTTAATAAAATCACTTTGTAAAAATGATGACTTTGGTTGATGATCGAGTGCTATTTTATATCTACATGAATTTTTTTAAAGCATATTTTTATTATGTTATTATGAATAGATTTAATTAAAATTATTTA